AACGTTTCGATTTAAACTACGAATGTTGGTGAGGGCTATAGAATGTTGTGATTTTGTGAATAGAGTGTGCATTAAGTGATTTCTGCAGGTTGTATTAATCATATGTGATGTAAGAGAAAACCGGCAACTCAACCCTGAGGCTTGGAGTGGTAAACCAAATAAGGCCTTAATGGGTTGAGCGTGGTAGTGAGCCGGGCGACCGCAGGGCTGCATTGCTCGCCCAGCCTGATCCCACTGTTCATCTATACCATCACATCAAAGCGCGCACAACCCACGCTCCAGCACTGACTCAACATATGTATATTATATATATATATTTTCACACGTCTGAATCCAGACTGTGTGCCAAACGAATCATAGTACAATAATCTTTATAAAAAAGAAAAGCTTTCCATGATTTGCATGTGGGTGGAATACTGCCAGGTTGCCTGGTTCAAGGCAGGTGAATTTTTTTGAGGAATCCATAATTGCAGCCTTCGGCTAGCCAAAGCCTAACCCGCAAGGCAGCGGGCTGGTTTGCGAAAACCTCAATCCATTGGGGGCCGGTGTCTAGTTCATCGGATTGTACGCCCTTTGGACGGGGGTTAAACGTCCAGGGTGCCGAATTCACGTCGATGCCCAATCGAGCCAGTAACCACTACCACAACCAGAAAGTTGTGCGTGTGGTTTGTACGCCTCCTCATGGCTGGTTTGGAATCAAGGTTTTTGGCCAACTCCCCTAGGTGAACTGCCAGTGNCCCCCGCCACGAGAAGGCGGTGAGTAGGGCTTCCTCAACAGAGGCTATTGGAGACGCTTTGTTATAGTCATCATGACGAGACTGTACCTTGACGTTGTGATGGCTTGCGTGCCTCCATGCCCCTGCGAGCTACACAGGACGGTTTTTCACAGCCGTAGATCCAATTATGCCCGAAAGGTCAATAGGTAGAAGCCAGACAAAGCTCAGTCTCACAAAACCAGCTACTTGAGTACCTCCTGGCTTCCTTCTTGTATCCATACCCGCCCCTGAAGAGGTCAGTCGAACAAATAAAGACGGTGATCGATAGTTTCCCGGTCAAAAAACCCCGCTAGATGGACATAGGAGCGGGGTACCTGGGGCTTCCTCTCGACGATGGGCGAAGTCTTCGCATTTCGTTGGACAGCTACCGCCCGCCCAAGCTTGGAAGGCCCAGCCAATAAGATGATGTCCCGTTCACGTTTCGCTTGTCTCACTGGGTGCATGAGACCAAGGGTCAATCCCAAACAGCGGACCGACAACCAGCGCACTAGCGAATAAAACACTGAACCGAAACCTGAAGGCCTTGCGTGACGGGCCTCTAGAAGCTCCTACACGGGCGCTTCGATCACTCTCCCGCGTTGTATCTGCGCTCCACTACCTTGCGGGTCGGGCTTTTGAGTTCAAGGCTCCGGTTAGGGTTCCCAAAGAAAATACCCCTTCGCGGATTTTGGCTACCGCGAAATATGTCGTGCCGTAAAGTCTTGGGCACCCTTTTGGAAAAACCCCTTTCCTGTCTAGCTAGTCCTTCCTCCTAATCCCGAATAATCCCAGATGCCTCCTGTTTAGGACACCCATCGGATATCACTAAGCGTTTTACCAACAAGGCCAAGCAATCAGAAGTTTTAGGGGTTGGGAGCCAAAATTCACTTTTCTCTTAGCCACGTTCAATGTCCGCACACTCTATCAGATTGGTCAACAAACTACCTTAGCTAAATCCCTTGAAACTTTCAATCTATACGTATGCTGTATGATATTGGTAATAGTCGTAATCTCCGTCTACTTAGGAATTCGGGCCCTAGGAAAATAGGCGTAAGTGAGGTAATTAAGGAATCCGATGGCACACTGATTCACGATCAGCAACGCCGTCTTGACCGTTGGGCTGAACATTTCAAGGCTCAGTTCAACTGGCCCCCATCGACACCTTATCTTTCATTCTCCGCCTCGACTGGACAAATACTCCCAGTTGACCCCAGTTTTCCATCTCAAAAGACATAAAGCTTGCGGCCTAGATCGGCTGTCCCCATAGGTTTTTCAGGATGGATGTTCAACTTTGGTTTCGGAGTTAACGAAAATACTGAGCTCATTGTGGGGAGAGAACAGGTTTCAGCTGATTGGTGTGAATCGGTGACCATACCGATTTACAAGAAAGGTGACAGGTCCTCTTGTGAAAACCACAGAGGAATTAGTTTAATAAACTTTACCTCTAAACTTCTCGCTGGGATCACACTCCGTCACACATGAATGGTGGACGCGTGAGAGCCAGGCTGGTTTTAGACCTGGTTGAGTTTGTATAGACCACATCACTTTTCCCTGCCTTGGATTAAGCAACCTGGCAGCATTCCGCCCACATGCAAATCATTTTTCTTTTTACAAAGGTTATTGTACCTTGATTTGTTTGGTACACAGTCTGGATTCAGACGTATATATATATATATATATCTTCACTCTTCGACTAAATTCCTTTCGTAGACCCACCATTACTGTCTTCCTCGATCTGAAGGCGCCTTTCGACCCAGTCGACACTGTAAACTCTGGCGCTGCCTGTCTCCGAAGGGTATGACCGAGAAGTTAATTTCAACTTTACGATCTCTTTATATTAGTAGTCAAAGCCCAGTTAGAGCTTACATCACTTTTTCGTCCGAGTTCACCACAGAATGTGGTGTTCGTCAGGGTTTTCCTCTTTCTCCGTTTCAATTTAACTTTGTCATAGATTTCATTCTTGAGACAGCGCCATCCCTGTGCGAGGATAGCGACATTGATTTGCTCCCAGGTGGTAGACTGTTTGATCTGGAGTATGTAGACGACATTGTACTGCTAAATGGTAATCGAGGTAAGGTACAAGTTACTCTGGATAGTTTGAGTGTCGGCGCATACCTTTTCCCTCTTAAAGTGTAAAATGCTGCTGCAAGCTTTGGTTATTCCAGCCTCCAACCCCACCGTGAATGGGGAAGTAGACAAATTTTGCTATCTGGACAGCTATATCTCACCTGGTTGACGCGTCACATATGAAGTGTCGGCACGCATACAGAAGGCTCGATTGGCATTTTCCTCCTCGAGACATTTGTGGCGCCGTCCTGGCTGTCTTTGAAGGTTCGAGTATATGCTGCAGCAATTCGGCCAGTACTGCTATACGCTGCAGAAACTTGGACATTAGGAAAATAGGATAAAGGTAAAATGAAAATCGCTGTCTACGCAGCATTGCACGAATCTGCTGGGGCAGCCGGACGAGCAATGCTGAGGTTAGGGGCAGAGTTTTAGGTAACCGCGATCGCCCAATGGAGCAATTGGTTGACCTCCATAGATTGGTTGGGGCATGTGTTACGCACGACGCCAGTAGGTTGCCACAGCGAGCGATGTTCGCCGAGAAATGTAGTGGGTGGAAAAGAGCTAAGACCTGACACGAAGGTATGGAAACCCTAACCAGGAAACTCGGTCACATAGGTCCTTTTAGGCTCTCTGGCTGGGGATCTCGGGATGATCGTAACCAATAGTTAGGGACACCGAGCGATATGGCTGTCGTAAACAGTGGTGTTCGTGCATCTTTCCAATTTCTTTACAGCATTAGTCCACTGAAATCCCCCTTTTTCTATTCGATTCTACTTTCAACTTTCTCCTACTGTTCATCGAAATGGGCAGCCAAAAGACCAACCAGTACCGGTGCACGAAAATGCATAGTTAATGGTTGTTCAAGCTGAAGCTGTGTACGAACTGCTGGGACAGACAGATGCTGATGAGGTCTCCGAGTTTGCTTTTTTTGGCGCTGGCCAGTGAGTCGAAGAGTGAAATACACCAAAACTAATGCTTGATCAGACTAAACACCGGTGGTCCAATAGAACCTGCAATTTTGCACTGAGTCACGCCAACGGTAGCTTACTTCTTGTGGTCCATTTGAGTTACCATGCTAGTTAAATTGGAGCGCCATATCGCCATCCGTCGAGAGCTGTGCGAGAAGCTGGTACTAGATAGGAACAGATGATGATCTGTGGAGAACTGAAGAAGTCGATCGCCGTGATATGTTCACTGGCAGGGCAGAGCAGAACGACCGCCTAGCCCAGGCTCCGATGCGCTCGGTTTTCCAACCTGTGCATTAAAATCGCCTGCGAGCATAGCTACATGCAAGTTCCGGTTCAACCAAATGAGTTCGGTGAGTTTGTCGTAGAAATCGTACTTTTGTGTATCAGAGCTGCAATTGGTCGGTACATATACCGATATGATGAACGAATACCTTTTGGTGTTGCTTGACCTACGGAACCGATTAAACCCTGGAGACGTAGCGCACATAAACGATTGGTGACGGGGATTCAGTCGGTAAGATAGGACTCAGTTCTGTTGCTGAGTACAATACTTACCCCGCGCAGACCTACTGAACGGGCTTCGTTGTCGCCCGATGTGCGAAGAACGTACCTCGAGGACAAATCTGGCACACTCAAGTGGCTTGCAGTAGTTGGATCGTTAGTTCGAGTCTCCGATACAGGGAGATACAGAGAGATATCACTGATAATTGGTCTCTTTACATCCAGATCTCCTCTCGAAGTACGTTTGAGTACTAGAGGCTGTTTAAAATGCATAGATCCAGGTTTTCAAAATATTTTATGCGCAAACCTACCCTCTTTCCGAATACATTGGGCAATTATGTGATAATAGAGCTTTATTATTATCTTTAATTTATGTCCGAATTTTGCACACAAGCAAAGTGTGAATCGATTTTATTGCCGTTTGTCACATGGAGATTCCATTAAACATTCTACGTTCAATCGTGTCGTATAAACAATCTCCTTCCTGTCTTGGTTTAAAGTCACTGTAATGGTTTGTTCACTTGCTCTCCAATTGCGAAAAACTCGGGTTTATAATTTTCTTGGAGAATTTCATCAATTTCAATCCTTCTGTTGCAGATATAATTCGTCATACTCTTCTACTTTAAAATGAAATACATATTTAATCTCCTTCGGAGTAAGTTTTGAACGAATCTTCATAACTAGAGATTTAGAAATTCCAGCCTCGCCCATGAGGAGGGCAGCTGGTTGTCTAACACTTGTTGGTGGCGGTGCGGCCGCAGCTGCATTCACGTATTGCGCTTCTCCACACAAAACATTTGAGCAAGTCAAATCTGTTCCACTATTGGTTCAATGCTCAAAAAAACTCAGTCCACAGAGTTCCGTAAGTGTATTCACTTTTATAATCAAGTTTTTTTCGTCAGGTTATCAATGATACAAAACAACATGCACTATTTCTCACAATACATCTGAATCCCTCCGCCAATGTGCAGGAGTGTTTGAAAGCTTTGGGACATATACAGGTGAGCTTTTCCGACTTGATTTGGAACAAAAATCGTTCTGCTGTGACAAAACTGAACCTTCAGTTTCGGTTACTCTGTTTCAACCACATTGCTGACTGAGCCCTTGGTTAACCACTTTTACTCGGAATTGGGAACTTCTTGTTTTGCGAATACTTTGAAGAAATTCTACTTAGAACACTGTAACTTTCAGGTGCACATAATTTTTGTATCATTTCGCCTACCTAGTTATGCTAGATACTAACAGTGGTGGTATAAATCGCTGTTAATGGTGTGGAGTGAGCTTTAAGGTCTGACGTTAGAACCCTGTTGCTCCCATTGAAGTATATCAACAGACGGCTTTGTTCGTAAGCGGCATATTACCACGCCTATCCTATTGGCTGGAAGAACATAGTCCTAAAACTCAGGTTTCCTGTTCTCATAACTAGCTAGTGGTTGGATCTGAATTTCTTGTTTATTACACACATTTTTGTGTGATAAACTACGGATGGCGT